CCAAGATGACGGGTTGCACACCAACAAAGCGTCCTGACAAAAGCAGATTGGCGGTTAGGTTAATAGTAGTCCAAAAGTCCAGCAGTCTCCATGAGCTGACAATGAACAGGGAGGAGGAAATAGGTAGACAAGGCTTAGCTGAAGATCTTAATCTCTTTGCTGAAGATGACCAGCGCATTGAATAGGTTCTTGCTTCTAATAATTTCATCCGGTTTACATGGCTACGCAATGTTCTCATTGTGGGCAGCTGTGATTAGCCCCTCCTTGCGTCATTGAAATGGGAGCAGGAGAAAAGTACGTGCTCACTGTCCATCCACTATGCAGACTGACAGGTACAGTGGCCATCGCCCTTCTTCAGGAACCAGGCCAAATAACCACCCAGGTTTCCATGTCCGGTAATGAGCTGTGTGAGTTCATACAATGGGGAGAAATAATGGTACTTCCTCCTCTCTTTAATGGAGGGAAGGAAGCTGTACATTGTCCGTGCAGTGTCGCTATTAGTCCACAACAATTGCCAGCAATCAATGGTGTAATCATGGATTTTGTTTTTGTTGGATTTTGTATTTTAATATTTAATCTGTCAATCAACTGATACCGATTAAATAATAATAATTTTGTACCTAATCAGCCAATATACTCTATAACTAACCAGCAAAATTGTTAGCCACCTTATATATGGCCATCTGTCATGTCTAGGAATTTACCAGACAACAATCAACTTTCCAGATGTGACCATCTATCGTCTAGACTTTTGACCATCTGTCAATTTTTTCCATATATGACGTAATGTTATATTAAATTTATCGTTGGAAAAGGCCGTTAGCAATGATAAAGTCTATGGGTGACCGTTATAAATCGTTAGTGAGGATTAAAATGATTGGCCAAAACTAAAACCCCTATAATTTGAAAAGTACTAAACCTAACTTCACCAAAATTACATCCCTTACCCTTGAGACTAACCTATACGTCCCACCCAATTTTTATCCCCCTAACTTAATTTACCCCCCGATATCAAAATCTATAATCCCAAAATCTGAACTCAAATATCTCCCTCCCTAATTATCCCAGCAATATAAATTATATATCAAACTTACCGTCTAACAATGCCCTTTCCAACTGTGTTAAATAAAGTTAATTAAATTCAAAACTTAAGTATTTGAAATTTCTATTATTCAGGAGCTTGCCTTTTTACGTCTTTACTCTACGACTTCCAGACAGCGACTTTCTGCTATAGACATCCTATATTAGAAAGATGATGAAAACCCGACACTACTCATAGGTATTGCTCGGGTGTGAAAAGGAAAGGAGAAAAGATGTTTAAGGCAAGGGGCGAAGGGGAAAGGAGGATAGGAAAGGGGATGAAAGTAGTAAGATAAGTTAACCAGCGGTCCCCCACAGGACCCCATGGGCGCCTGCATCGGATCTTTTAATAAATGAAAACAATATACATACAGAGAACAATAACATATGTACATAAATGAAGAAGTATGAAGTTTGCGTTACAAACATGCTGTGACATATATGAGAGTACAATACCGCGTACATAACAGTTAGTGATCCGTCAGTAACATATGATACATAACTATATACGTATAGATAAATGGTTTACAAAGAATATAACCTTAAGAAACAATAATACCATAATAATAGATTAACAAGCATGGTAGGCTCTACTTGAGTCTTACATATATACATTGCACTTATGCTGCCAATAACATCAGAATTTCCAATTGATTAGCGATTACATGAATCGGTGTATCAACCTTATTTACACATAACCGTTTTTTGATTACATTATATTGTTTACATTACATTGATGTTTACAATAATTACGATCTATACACCATTGCATTAACCAGCAATATAAATTAAATACATTTTACACTGATGCCAAAAATTTACATAGTAATAACACAGTAAGTACAGAAAAGAATACAATTGATAACAACTTGAATACAAAAATAGACAAACAATATGTACATGGTAGACAAACCAGTCACATTGACTTGCCAAAAATGACCCCATGGTCAATCCTGCCCCAGTGACGATACCGAAATCCAGGTGCAGTGTGTTGGCACCGTCAGTATCGGGGCTTAATCCCAATTAAGATAGAAAGGAATTGACCATGGGCCACGAAGAATGTACCACAATGCGGAATGCCCGCCTCCGAAAACATACCCTGCTGTTTTATGCGACCATTGTAACTTCAGTTGTCCATGTTCTGAATGTCCAATGCTCCCGTGGTTTTCGCAAAGTCAATTAACTTGCTGTATATAGTCTTGTTGTTTATCAACACTTCCGGTCGACAAGGCCAGTTATGTCTCTCAAGAAGTACAGTCTGTATAAGGTCGGTGCGTTATTGATCATAGTGACGACACATAAAGATATAATGAAAATTATCTTGATCTGAGGTCCCGTCGCAGCTGCATTTTGGCGTATTACTATGTTGAAATCGATGTAAATACATTAAGAAATTTCCATGACCCGACAAAAGTTAACTTACAATGAAATCCACTTTTGTGTGTTTATTCCTCCTTCTGTCACTTATGTCCGGAATTAGTTTGAAGGTATTTCTTCCTGTAGTTTCTTCTTCCCAACCTCTTTGCCACATCTTTAATGCAGTTTGATGCAATAGGTTCTTTGTAGCAACCATTGGTATGTCCTTATATGTTGGTGGTTTGGTGCTCTCTGTGGCTTCCCTTGCCATTTGATCTGCTTTTTCATTTTCGGTAATACCTATGTGGGCTTTAACCCATTCAAAATGTATCTTTCCTCTATTGCAATTAATTTCTTGTATAATTTGATAGATGAGTTGGCCTCCTCTTCTGTTGTTGTTAATGCTTAATAGTGCAGCTCTACTGTCCGAATATATATATACACATTCGCATGTTTAAGACTTGGGTGTTTATTAACAAAGTGTAATGCTTGTAAAATAGCATAAAGTTCTGCTTGCATGATTGTGCAAAATTTTTCAAGACGATAAGTTTCTTTATATTTCGGTATTTTACACTTGCCACAGTAGTAAACAAATGCCGCACCCACTTTATCTCCTGATTTGGACCTGTCCGTATATATTCTGTGAACAGGTTTATAGGTATTATTACCCATGTCCATGTTTATTTCAGTATCAATAGCAGGATGTATTTGAGGAGGAATAGTGTTTCATATATCTGTATTTAGATTTAGATCCAAGAGTTCATTTATCATAAGATTTGGTAGAAATCCAACATTTAAGTATGTATACAGATCTTCTTTTCTTATATCATTGATGTCTAAATGTGTCAGTCTCCAAGTGGCACACTTTTTCAATGCAGCTATATGAATAGGTTTAATTCCAGTGATAGCTTGTAAGGCTGCCGTGGATGTTGTCTTATATGCTCCAGCTATGTTTAACAAGTTAATTTTTTGGGCTTTTTGTAAAGTCCTTTTAATATGCACCCGAGAAGAGGCATCCCCCCATATAGTATGATTGGCTCTATCGCTTGTCTGTATAGGCAAGATAGAATCTTGGTATCAAGGCCCCATTTTTTACCTGCCAAATGACATAGGAGGTTTGACAGCTTCATTGCCCTGTTACATGCATAATTAATGTGCGTGGTCCATTTAAGCCCCTGGTCCAGGACTATACCCAAGTAAGTCATTTCAGTCGTGTATGGTATCCTAATATTATTAATCTTGATCGACGGAGGTTTCTTTAGTTGGTTACCTCTTGACATCATCATGCAAGTGGATTTGTTAATATTTATTGTTATTTTATTATCATTACTCCATTTATATATTTCTTGAAGAATACGATTTGTTTCAGCCTGCACTTTCTCATTATTTTTATCTGCCACTATTATTAGGGTGTCGTCCGCGTAAGCCTGAATTGACCATTGTACCTGTATATTCTTTGGGTTGATACACAGTAGATTGTCATGCATGATGTTCCATAGTCCTGGACCAGAGCGCGAGCCCTGTGGGCAACCCCTTGTCATACTTTTAATAATTGGGCTATCTAGATTATACACACCGACAGTCCTGTTTTTAAGGTAGTCCTTAATAGTTAGGTACAAATTTCTTGGGCACTGAAAACGTTTTAGCCGGTACAGTAACGCCGGCCACCACAAGGTGTTAAATGCGTTTTGATAGTCTATTGATGTAAGAAGTACGTGTTGTGACTTATTTCATGCGTTGTGAACAAATTGTTTCACACAATGAAGTGTGTGACAAGTAGATTTATTTGGTATAAAACCAAACTGCTTAGCATTCATTAAGTGTTTACTGTACAAGTGGTGATTGATCCTGTTTATGAATAAACCGTCTAATACTTTACCTAGTGTTGGCAGGAGGCTAATAGGCCTAAAATCAGTTGCTAAATTGTGCGTATTCTTACCCACTTTGGGAATGAATTTTATTTTGGCCTATTTCCAAATCTTAGGAAAAGTAGTTTTTTCAAGACATCTATTGTAAGTATAGACGAACGCAATTGGAACAGCACTATAAGCCTTTTTAACCATTTCGGCCGTGATGGAATCTATTCCTGGTGCTTTTTTATTGCGCATTGACTTGATTGTGGCTTCTACCTCCTTGAAAGTGAACAATATGTCATTGTTGGTTAAAGGTGGATTGTCAATGTCTTTTCTGACTTTGCTTTGATAATTACTATCGTTATCCTCATCATCCTTCGGAAAGTGAGTGCTCAATAAGTGATGATAGGTGTCCCTAAGACTTCCAGTGATTGTACTATCTTGTATTTTAATTGAAGCGGGAATATTAATATTTTTTCTTGGTTTAAGCACTATACGGTATGGCTCACTCCACGTATTATTGTTTCCTATATCTGAGCAAAACTTTTTCCATGCTGCGGTGCAAGCTTTGTTAATGCTAGTCTTATATGCGTTAAAAGTTCTTATGTATTCCATTCTTTTATTATCTCTTTGTATCGGGTCTGTTTCCTTCTGGAAAATCTTGTATAGTTTCCTAACTTTTGTTCTTTCTATTTGTAAGGAATTGTTCCACTATGGAGCACTGGTTCTAGTCACTTTCTTTGTAGTCGTTGCTTGATGAAAAGCATTTACAATAGATTGAGTAAGATGTTCCGCTAGTGCCTCTGAACTATGTATCTCATAAAGATTGTTGATTTGTCCCCATTGATATTTGAATAGTTCTTGGAAGTAGTTCCAATTTGTCTTCTTTGATATGTTATGTTGTTTATAATTTTGGCAAGTATTTTCAATTATCGTTTTAATATATCTGTGATCACTACTGCCTGTTTCGTCTATGGTATAACATGATTTGATTAGACATTGTGCTTTATTATTTGCCAGTACTATGTCCACCCAGCTCTTGCCTCTATCACAATAATAAGTAGGTAGAGGACTACTATTGCATGAAACAAAATGGTTTGTTGACATATATTCACATATCTTATATCCACGATTATCCTCCTCTGGGCTATGCCATATAGGCGATTTAGCGTTAAAGTCACCAGTAATTAACCATATATGATTTTTAAGATGATTATGAATTCGTTGTAACTTATCAATAATTATATCAATATTAAGGTAAGGAGAGCAGTATACCAAAGAAATGTAAATTTCCTTATTATTTATTGTAATGAGTATGGTAGTGACACATTCGTTACTGAGATCATTGCAATAGTTAGCAGGTATGTTTTTATTAGTAATCAGAATGCTTGTTTTGAGGACATCAGTATATACTTTGCTTGGAAACACCCTCCACCGCCCATATCGCACTATGGTGTTAGAGACCAGGTATGGTTCCTGCAGACAAATTATATCGGCTTTATGTTCCTCTGCAATTTTTATCACCATTGATGATGCCGCTTTACATTTTTGTGTGTTAATACTAAGAAGAATGAAGTTCTTTTCATTATGTTGAGAGTGCCTATTAGAGTTGAGACTAAGAATGCGTTGACTGAATGATAACTTTGACTGCTTATTGGCATTGTTAGCTTTATATGCCATAGTCTATTAACTGTATTTGTTGGTTTTTATTCTTTGTAGTATGGTATAATTTTTACTAAACGCATTATGATTGGTCAGCACTTTTTTATTATGTGGTTGAGTGCGGTTGAAATTCAAACAATTAATACAATAAGGTGAATCATCTTTTTTAGTGCATTCTTCATATTTATGTTCATGTGTGCATTGACTACAATGTTGTTTTTCATTACACTTATCTGCCATGTGGTGAAAACCACAGCATCTGTAGTACCGTAAAATCATTATGTAGTCGTCAGCTGTGACATTGGCCCATGCCATGGATACGTATTTATTTTTAATTATCGCTACTCTGATGTTAGGGTTAACCGATATCACTATATGTCTGCAGTTATGTCTTATTCTGCCTCTCGTGATGATCATACTAATGCGGCAGTTATTGAGAAAATCCCATTTATTAAATTTATAAAGGAAGTCATTTTGTTTATATAATGTCTCCAAAATCTCATCCTCCTTTATGGATTTAGCACAGTGTGGAAATGAAGACCATGAGAGTAATGAATGCACAAGTTCTCCATGCTGTGTGAACTGCAAAGATGCTCATCCTGCCTACTCTCGGAAATGCCCTTCATGGCAGAGAGAGAAAGAAATTCAGCGATTGAAGACCATTAATAATATATCCTACCCAGAGGCACGTCGTATGGTCACCTTAAATACACCAGTGAAACAAAAGACATTCACTGCTGCTCTGAAACCCACAAAGACATGTGGAGTTCAGACAGACATTTCTGTTTCACCCGATGAATCTCTGACTCGCCATGAAAAATGTCTGCTGATACCATCTACCAANTATTATTTTTTGTTTTTCATTATCATGATCTGGATTGTCCTTGGGAAAATGGATGTCGAGTAGATGACTATATGTCTCCTGTAGATTAGTTGTTAAGGTGCCGTCTTCCTTGTATATGTTCATGGGGATAGTAGCTGTTTTTCTGGGCTTAAGTATCATATGGTAGGGTTCACTCCAGTCCTTTTTGTTACCAATGTTAGAACAGAATTTTTTCCAAGCGTTAGTTCTGGCTTTATTTATTTTTGTTTTGTACATATTAAACTCTTTTATGTAGTTTTGTTTCTTAAGATTTTTCTGATTTATGTCTGTCTCCTTTCTAAAAATTTTATATAATTTTCTTACCTTCTTTCTTCCTTTGTGTGTTTAGAAAAGGAGTCCACCATGGTGCGTTATTGCGTTTTACAGTTTTGACCTTTGTAGAATCTTTATATGAGTGAAGAATAGATGTGGTAAGATGTTTAGCCAGTTCTTCTACTTCTGTAATGTTATAGAGCTGCTTATTATTAGGATGTGCCCAATTATATTTAAAAAGTTCCTGGAAATGATTCGAATTAGTAATGCGTATTGTATTGTGAACATCCTCAGAAGCCATCCTATTGTATTTTATTACTGTCTTGATGTATCTGTGATCGCTTGCACTAATCTCGTTCAGAGTGTTACAATTCATAATGAGTTTATGAGCTTTAAAATTGGCAATGCATAAGTCAACCCAGCTTTCGCCTCTAGGGCAAAAGTAGGTTGGTAGAAAGCTACTGTTACAAGATACTAAATTATTTTTTGCTATGAATTCTGTAACCAGAAACCCGCGAGGATCTTCCTCCGGTGCAAACCAAATAGGTGACTTAGCTTGGATAATAAGTCACTGCTTATTATCCAAGCTTATTATTATGTTGCTATTTATCCTTTGTAAGTCGTCGATGAGTGTTTGAGTGTCTTTATTCGGTGAACAATACACTGATGATAAGTAAATTTGTTTATCTTTGTTTATTACTTGAATAGTAGTCACATAATCAGTGCTATAATCAGGACAGAAATGAGCCTTTAGATTTTTGTTACATATCAGTACCCCTGTTTTTAACACTTCACTGAAATTGGTTGTTGGGAATACCCGCCATCTTCCGTACCGAACTATAGTGTTTTTTTACCAAATATGGTTCTTGTATTAGGATAATATCTGCATTATGATCATCTGACATTTTTTGAACCATTGATGCCGCTGCTTTAGATTTTTGAGTATTTATTGTCAATATAATTATTTTGTTGTCTACTGCATCATTAATTCCATTGTTATTATTTGCTGTTAAGTACTGAGTAGATACTGATGCCTGATTACCATTGTTGTTATTGTTACTAGCACGGCTATAGATAGTGAGGAAAGTCAGGGCCGAGCATGAAGCATAGCCATGGGAAGGAGGGGAGATAGGGTTAGGAGAGGAGGGGGAGGAGGAAGGTGTGAAGTAATAAGAAAGGATGGGATCTCATGGTCTTGTACGGGCCATTTATTAAAAGTAAACGATGTTTACATGATATAAGAACAAAATACAATCTAGTATAGTGAGAACAAGAAATATCAAGACAATAAAATAGCAGATTACATTGTATTTACAGATGGGGCCAACCGATGTGGTACAGAGCGAAGGTGGCCCTTACAGGAGAGCTGGAGAGGAACAAATATCCATGGAGGGATATTAGCTCAGCACACGTATTTTACAGTTGAAGTCCTTGAAAGCCTTGCAGATATTACGGTTTTTGATGAGAATATCCAAGGGACAAGGCCAGGCAATGTTCTCAGAGATTACAGTTGCGATGAGATTAGTGCGTTCCTTGTTGTACTGCGGACAGTGGAGGAGGACATGCTCACTATCCTCCCATTTGTCCGCGCAGGTATTGAAGTAACCTTTGCCTTTTTTTAAGAACCTTGCCAGGTACCCCTTAAAGTTACCATGGCCTGTAATTATTTGTGTGGACTCATAGTCAGGGGATAAGTGGGAGAGGACTTTCCTCTCGTTGACGAAGGGGAAGAAGCGGTGCATCAACCTAGCCGTGTTGCTGTTATCCCATCTAATTCGCCAGCATTTACAGATGTAACTGTATACCTGGTTGATGATCCACTTAAAAGGAATCTTCTCATAGTCAAAATTTTTAAGGTTCGTGATGGCTTTTTTAGCCAGAAAGTCCGCCATTTCATTGCTTGCTAGGCCACTGTGACCTTTAATCCAGGCGAGAGTGATGTTTGTACTGTTTATCCTTTTGAGGGTCTGGATTGTTTCTTTAATCATAGGGAGGTTCATGTTGCTATTTTGAATTTGGTGGAGAGCAACCTTGCTGTCAGTGTAGATGTTGGCTTGTGTGTTATGGAAAATGCTCGGAGACTTTTGAATGTATTGGATGGCTTTAAGGATGGCCCTGGATTCGGCCTGGTTGTTGGTGCAGTGGCCCTCCATTTTGAAATAGTGCTGGTGAATGGTGTTACCCTTATGGTCCTTGACGATAAACGCACCACCTGTGCTGAAATCTAAGTGGGCACGGCTATAGACATGAAGGGGGAAAGCGAGGCCGAACCAGTACAGGCATAGCCTGTAGGAAGAGAGGAGATAGAGATGAAGGAGGTGAGTGGGTGAAGAAAAGTGGAGGAAGGGGTAGGGATCCAAGAGGTCCGCGTCGGGTACCATTTATTAAAACAATAGGAAAGGTTTACACATAATAGGAAGACATTCCATTGGTACAATTTGATCCCGACAATATATTTACATAATTAGATAAAAGGCAATATAACAAAATAAATTACAGAAGGGCCACCAGAGAGCATAAGACGTGTCACAATGAACGATGACTTTGATGGTGGTAGAACAGGCCACAAAAGTGGCAAGTAGCTGGCCGCACCAACTAACTTAAATGACGAGTTGTAGAGCGAGGATGAGTTAAGTCCAGTGGTGGTGGCGAGAGTCCCATGATGGTGTTGAAAGTCCCGTGATGGTGATAAGAGTCCAGCGGTAGATAGAAGTCGGATGACATTCGTTTAGTCGCAAACAGAGATTACACAAAACACAGGTTGGAAAGTGACCCAGAGCCCAAGGCTCAGGATAATACCTTGATGTCCTTGCAGAATTTGTTGAGCACATTGTAAAGGTTCTTGTTTCCAATGAAAGTTTGTGGGCTGCAGGGCCAGGCAATGTTCTCACCCAGGGCAGCGGAGATAAGAGCTCTCCTCTCTTGGCAGAAGTGTGAGCAGTCATACAAAACATGATCACTGTCCATCCTATGGGCGGAGGGGCAGGAACCTAACCCATCTTTTTTTTTAAGAAACTGGGCTAGGTAGCCGCCCAGGTTGCCATGTCTTGTTAAAAGTTGCGTTAGTTCAAAGGAGGGAGAAATATAGTGAAACCTTGACCTCTCAATGACAGAAGGGATAACCTAAATACCGCCAGCAGTCGATTAAATAATTGTGGACCTTGTGGTTAAGCCAGCTGAGGGGGATCCTGTTGTAGGTGTACTGGTTGATGTTAGTTATTGCTTTTTTTGCGAGGAAGTCAGCATGAATATTACCTTTGATGCCAGAGTGGCCTCTGACCCATTTGAGAACAATGGAGGAATGCGGAGTGGTGTCTAAGGCTTTAATGATGTCCTTAAGGATGGGAAGTTTAGTATTCCTCTTGCTGACCTGGTAGAGGGCCACTCTGCTATCGGTATTAATTGTGATACTGATAATTGTGATACCACGAATAATCAGGCCAAAGACTCCGCCTGATTATTCGTGCAGTAGTTTGCGAGCCTGAAGTAACTCTGATAGGTGATCCTATCAGCAGACGAATAAATTACAAAAGCCCCACCTGTACCCGAGGCAGAGTGAGATTCATGATGCCCTTGCGAATTTGAGGGGAGGTGTCCAGGAGAATCTCATACCTTTGAATAGTAGCAGGGTGAGAGAAAGTGATGGTGGAAACGTCCAAGCCCTTGTCCATCAACAAAGGGCTTGGACCCCGGATAAAAGTTTCCCATAGCTAACCCCACTAGGGCCCTGTCGCCCCTGGTCGATCCCCCTCTTTTAGTGACCNAATGGTGAATGAGACTAAGTTTTTGGGTGTTTCTTTCGATAATAAACTGACATTTTTGCCACACTTGCGCAACCTGAAGAGTAGATGTTTAAAATTTTTAAACCTTTTAAAGGTACTATGCTGCTCATCCTGGGGAGCAGACAAAGTTTCGATGCTCAGGATTTATAGGGTCCTTGTTCGCTCTAAGCTGGACTACGGTTGCATTGTTTATGGGTCTACGCGAGAATCTACTCTTCGGATGCTGGATTCAATTCACCATCAAGATTTGCGTTTGTGCACTGGTGCATTTCGAACTTCCCCTGTTCAAAGTTTGTATGTGGATGCTTATGAGCCTTCACTATCTCTCAGGAGAGAACAGTTGTCTTTCTTCTATTGCATTAAACAAAAGTCTCAGAAAAAACTTACAGCTGATTGTTCAGATACTCAGCTGAAAAGATTATTTGTTGCTCGGACGAGTTGTGTCCCTACATTCGACATAAGAATGGAGAATGTAAGCAGCACGATTGACCTAGACACAAGCAACATCTCACATGTTGAGGTTAATAGTATTTCACCTTGGTCATCTTTACTGATCGATGTTGATTTAAGCTTAAAGCAGTTCCCTAAAGAAACCACGCCAGACTACGTCTATAGACAGCACTTCGCAGAAATTCAGCATTGTAACAGGAATTTAATTCCTATATACACCGATGGATCTTAGTCGGATAACTATGTTGGCTTAGCCTTTGTTTGCCAGGATGAAATTGTGGCAGAACAAATAGCACCGAATTCTTCCATCTTTTCTGCGGAGTTGCAGGCTATTTACTTAGCCTTAAAG